TCGAGATCTCGAGAAGAATGCGAGGAGTGCTCAGGCGGACTTCCATGAGAAGGTGGTGGAGCTGCCTCCACTTTCCCTGGCCCCCCTATGTTATGTTCAGATGCATGCTGCGGTCCGTCGAACGAAGGACGGCCTCCGTGCTGAGATCGATGAGTTACACGCCCAGATGGTTGACCTTCGAAGGCAGTTTGAACAGGAGGCGGCAAGAGTTAATGAGGAAGCTGCGTAGGTAGAGGGACCATTCTAATCAAGCCACTCGTCCTTGTTGTTGTTGCATGGATGCCTTCAATGTAGGGCCAAAGCGGCGGCTTTCAAGCGCAGTTGTGAGGAGAAGCTCTCGGAAGAGCGGAAGCAAGCGTCAGCCGATGTTGACTTGGCGAGAAGGGAGAAGGAACGAATAGAACATGAGAAGGTAACGTGACAGTCCGAAGACCTGTTCGCTGTGCAGCTTGGCGGATTGGGCTCCTTGAGCGGAGCGAAATTGGTGATCTATTCGAGTACGGTTGTTCAGAAGCGTGTGGAGGAGCAGCTACATGCAGTGGAACGGGAACTATCACGAGTGCTGGGTGAGAAGCAAGAGATTGAAGATGAGACTCAACACATACGAAGGGTGAGTGACGTGATCCGTACATGTTGATATGATCTTGTTGTTGAAGGCACTGAGTACGGCTGAGAGACGCCTAGAGAAAGATGAGGACACGATCAAGGCTAAGGATGATCAGGTTCGTTGCCGATAGGTCTGATCGAAATATAAAATCTGGTTTTTGTATTAGGTTGCTAAACTGAGTCAATCGAGGAGTAGCGAAGTTTCGCGGCTCAGAAGGACTATAAATGAGCAGAACGGCGAGCTGGAGCACTTGAAAAGCCAGGCCCGGAAGGCGCGCGAGAGTCGCGACTCGATATATCGTATTATCTCCCAGACAGCTGGGCGACATGGTATAGGTGAGACCAGTGCAATCTGCAGTATTATATTGGGCAGGCTTGTGTGCCTCTTTAGACATGGCGCGGTCAACAGCAGGAGGGAGCAGCCCACGTGCTTCCATGGGACGGATGAGCTATCATGGATCAATCGAAAAGAGTCCACGAGCTTCAGCGTCTATGTCGAGGAGCCCGATGGCTTCATTGGTGGAGACCACTTCCCCACACTT